TGACTGTAAGCAAACAGTTGAGCTGGAGAGGCCTCCATTGATATGATACACTTAGGTCAGAATGGTATTTTCAGACTGAACGAACTAACCATAGTAGGTGTTGGGTCACCTTCATAAGTCTTGGGAAAATGAATGAAACTACAGCAAATTTGACATTCTAGTGTCCCATCAGAAATTGCCCATTCTTTGTGGTGATTAGAGAAAGCACCTCAGCAAAAGGCTGGAGATGATGTTCAGCTAGCTGGAAGATCTAACATAGGGGGTTAAAGGCTCAGATACAAAAAAATTTATTGATTTATTTTATGAACATGTTTCTTCCATTATGATAAGCAAGATATGTTAATTGTCAATGCACTGACATGTAGATATTCATTCCTTCATTCATCATCTATTCATTGATCCTCCACTAAGATTGAGGCAATTTGTTGGAAGAGAAAGAAATAAACAAACATAAAATATAATACCTGCCCTCTAATCACTTTTAGTTTCATATATACAAAAAATTTCAATTCAAGGCAATGTATGATAAGAAACATACACTGATTTTAAAAATGCTGTCAAGGTCAAATCACTCTTAGTTTGGATAATCATTGAAAGCTTCAGAGAAAAAAGTGTGACTTCATAGAATATGATTTAACTAGATATTTTGAAAAGGTATCTGATGCTCATATGTAAATGCAGTATCAAAGTATTTAATACACAACTAAGTAGCTGAGAAACTAGAATAAACTGGGTTATTTGCATATGTATTAATTCTTGCAAAAAGTAAATTCATTAAATATATTCTCAATTTTAAGATAATTATTAGAAATTTGATTGCCTTCTATTTAATTTTAAACTACTTTATACATATAGCAATTCCTATTTTGAAGTTGTGCATAATAGAATTTAGTTTTATAAACTAACATGTATATTTAATGAAGGACAATAACCAAAGTTATCAGTTAACAAAATCTTTCCTTTTGAAGATACTGTTCATAAATGTTTGTACAAACTTTCTGTGTTCTCAGTGGATAAAATATCCACTTTGCTTATAGTCAGTTAATAAAACATTTTAGTGAATGAAAAGGCAAGTAATTCCAGCTAGTATTTGGTCATATTTTTAATATTTGAATATAATCACATGACTTGCAAATATATACATCTATTATGCATATTTGAACAAAAATACATACCAAACAAGGAGTCAACTCCTTTTAAAGTTTTTAAAATATGCCTTCCTTGGTAATCACAAAAATACCAAAATACATCTCTGTATAAATAATAAAAACCAATTTCTTAATGAGATAATCACAATTCTGTTATTTAGTAATTTCATTTGTGTATAATTGTGACTGCCTAATTAAATGAATATAACATATAGGAAGTATTTACATCTAAAATTTGTGTGCAAAACATATGTGTTTTAAATTATGCATATTCATTAATTTAATAAAGATAGAATTTCCAGATGAGTACTGGAAAACTGAATTTTTATAAAGATACTATGAAGGCTTGTAACACAGGTATTGAAAAAAAATCAGGTAATACTAATACTAATACAGTCAATTAAGTTAAAAAAATACACTGTTTTGTCCTTCTATCAAATTCCAACTTCTCATATTTCTTAACTTAGCCACAGAGTTCTTCTCTGGCCATGAGAAAGTCCAGATCTTAGCAACTATAAGAAAAATCTCTGGCAGATTAGATTTTTAAAATGTCACCTCTTGGGACATACTCTTAGATATTTGTATTTGTCTAGAGTCAATTATAAAATTTTATGACAATTGTAGTTTCAGAATAAAGTGTTTTCAAAGTGTTAAGAGATCCAGATTCCCTTCCACATAGTCCAAATCGACTGTGAGTTCTTACCTGACCATAGAAGACATTTCTCCTGGGAGTTTGTGTAGTCTGTTAACCAACAGAGGCAGAGCCTCCTATATAGCTCTTGGTGGTAATGGTGTAAGAGCTAGGTACATTTTTTAAACCATGTTTTAATATTTTTTTTAACCATTTACCCCTTCAAATTCTTCCTTAAAGAAAACAAGAAAACTGATGGATAGGCCTGTAAGCCCAGTAACTCAGAAGGCTGCGGCAGGAGGATCTCAAGTTTGAGGCCTCCCTCAGCAAGTTAGTGAGTCCCTAAGGAACTTAGAGAGACTCTGTCTCAAAATAAAAAATAAAAAGGGCTAAGGATATGGCTTGGTGAGTAAGCATCCATGGGTTCAATGTCTGGTACCAAAAAAAGATGAGAGAGAGAGAGAGAGAGAGAGAGAGAGAGAGAGAGAGAGAGAGAGAGAGAGGAACTCATGGGAAATACCCAAGAAACATTATTATATATATATGAACAGTATAGTAATAACTAACATAGGCTAACTGAAATGGGCACACTTTACTATTATATAAAGTTAATATGCTTTAAGCATGTTGGCCCTAATAAAATTCTGAGATTGCTTCCTATCATAATGATGGATGAGGAATTTGATGAGTCTCAGAAACTATAGGAATTGTGATAGGGAGGTTTATCTTTTTCCAAGGGATCCCTGACAAATCTTGATGTGGCTGTAGCAGTGGTTAGTCTCTGTAGGGAACTTTAGATATGTAAGTATGCATGAAGTATATGGTTAAGAATCTGAATTGTCTAGAGTAGCAAACAAGATTCCAAAGCTAAGTATCAATGTTATATGTTGGATCACTGTGCCAGATTGGACAAGAGTACACACAACAGGACCATTCAATACACATCTGGTTAGATGTAAAATCAACTACTGCTAAAGCATTTTTAACTCTAGGAGGAATCTACTGGCAACGTGTTAATAGCAAAGACAACTAAAACAATAAAATAGCATCTCTTTCCAAATATTTAAGAACATAGAGTAACTGCCCCTTAGGCTGGGTTGTGGTTCTGGGAAGTTTTAGCCTATGAGAACCATATTGGGGACATCAAAGACTCCTTCTCTATCCAAAGAGCAATTCACTTCAGATGCTGCCACACAGTCAAATGCTTTTATGGCTACCATGTTTTTTTGGTTTTCGTTTTTTTTTTTCCCCCCACTCAGTATTTCAGAACATGCCAGATTCTTAAAATTAGAAAGAAGATGAGAAAGTACAGTGAGATCAAATACCTGTAGAAGAGCAACTAAGTAGGGATCAGACGGCAAAGGATGAAAATATATTCCACCTGAAATTTCACTTCCAAGAAGAGTGTGAGTTAATATGAAGGACATAAAAGGCTCTCATTGGCTCTGAAAGCTGGGATGGTGGCTGATATGATAGTCTCACTATCAGACAGGATGCAACCTCCCCACTCCCACACCATTCCTTCGACAACTTCCCAGAGTCTACTCAATCAGAATCTTTTATATTGAGGACAATACTATATTTGGGTTTAATACCAGAACAGTCATCTAGTTTTCCTATGTCAGGATGATGAATTTCCCTGGAACCAAATAAGGATTGTCACTGAATTCTTCTGCTCCATACCATGAATACAGAAGAATAAAGAAAAGGGCATGACAAATAAGAGTGGGGAGAGGTTTCCTAACATTTAAAAGCAGCAGTTCTTAGCAAAGTGATCTTTAGAAGATCAGTATTAGCAATATTCTTCTGCTAAACATCCACTGTAGAATTTCTTTCCTGCTTATCTGGGTATGTAAGCACTGTGAGTATAACATAAATGCTCAGAACAAAGTTGCATGAAAAGTTGGTAGAGGGAAACTTCAAATGAACAATTAATTCCACTTTCATTTCTCCCACCTACCACCCTGGATACTACTTTCCTGCCCCGACTCAATCACCTATCTTCCTCCTCCATAAGCATGTTTGCTAGGTATGTCAAGGCCAAAAGCCATCTGTGGAGGCACAAAACTTATGCCTACAGGCTCCTCCTGAGCACAGACCCAAGGCTCTGCCATTGTCCATCAGGTGCTCTCAGCTGTGCACACTGAAAATCTTCATCACTCTGATTGTTTGGTAGCTTTTTTTAAAAAATGTATTTTTTGTTGTTGTTTTTTAAAACACCCTTTATTCCCTGCCTGCCTCAGAGACACCAAGAATAGAATCCTTGACACATCAAATTCTGGAACCTCACCACTCACCAGGACTGTGGTTCCTGATCCAAGGAGTGACGATTGAGAATCAGCACAGTCTCTTGAGAGCGTCCAGGCCTGGCTGTTAGCTCCCTGCTCTGATTAGTGTGTCGAGTTCACAGTGTTCCAGAGTGCTGAAGCACAGAAATTAGGGAGGGGAGGTGGAAGGAAAATCACTGGAGCCTCTTACGATCTAACTTCCACTAACTGAGAGGAAATGTCTTATAAATAAACAACAGCAAGAGAAACAAAAAAAACCCACCCCGTCCTGCCAGAGGAATGTACATTATTGTCTCCTGACGGAAAACTTTACACCACACCAGAATGCGGCCATGTCTCCTGAAACTACCTCCCTTAAAACAGAAAGAAAAAGGAGGATCAAGAAAGAAAGGAGAAGAAAGAAAAAGGAGGAAAAAAAAGCTTTTCTCATCCTCTTATCCTCTTGAATTCTGTTGGGAAGTTCATGTGAGTTCCCAGTAGACAAACTAAGCAGTTTCAGCAGTGTTACTGTTCCAGGGTTTCTGGCGGAGGCTGCTTATTAGCAAAATTTCATTTCTGCCCAGATCATTGCTGTACCATCCGGACATTTTCAGAAGGGAAGTTCAGGGAAGGGGGGAAGGGTGCAATTGTGAAGGAGAGGAAGAAGAGAGGACAAAGGAAAACTCCTGATGAACCGGAATGCCCTAGCCACGGCCATGATAAAGCAAGCCCCCGCCCGCCACCCGTCCACTGCGTGTTGAGGACTTGGTGATGCGGTGTGTTTAATCTACTTACTCTTTCTGCTCGGGAGGCTGAGGTTCCTACATTTCCAGCTCATGCTGGACTGTACCGTAAGCAACAAGTGAAATGAGTTCAGTGATCTCATTCTAGTCCTTCGACTCCTGTCCACATCACTAAGCGACTGCACAGCTTGGCACAGGCCAGGATGAGTCAGCAGTCTCTGGTCATGAGAGGCCAGGCCTGGAATAGCAGGGGGGTTTAGGTCAGGAGCAAAATGAAGCAGAAAGGCAGTCTGGATGGCAGGGCTCAACTCTGCAGTCCACAGGGATCCTGCAGGTCAAAATGTAAGTGCTTCATCAGCTCTAGGGGGAAGATTGTAGGACTAGGAAAAGGGGTAGCAAGGAGAAAACATGCTTGCAAAACAGAGTACCACAGTCAGAAAAAGAGGACACTGCTGGAGCCTTGGAGGAGAAAAGATGCTCCTTAGATTTCTGGACTAGCTTTTCTCCCAKGTGCTCTCAAACTTGAGGTAAGAAATGGTGGTGATCAATATACTCTTCTGGCATCTTGGTATTGCTTTCTCAATTTGGCAAGTAGCAAAGCAAATAAAAAGCAAAGCACTGCAGTTAGATAGCAAGAGAAGTCGCATTCTTCATAAATAATATTAGTAAGAGCCTAATATCTCAAAGTGGTAGGTCAGAAGCATCCTTGAATAATCTGCATAAAATGGTTAAAAAGGAGCACTCTCTAAGTAAAACTTGGGAGAAATTTGAATGATGAAACACAGAGGAACTTAGAAGTTGTGTTCACATTTTACTTAGTGGAGTCAGTACAGGCTTCCATTAAGAAAGTGATGTTTCCCACCAATTGGATTTTTAAAACTCTCTCCTTGTAATGTGTACTGCAATATAGCTAGAAGAGAGTGGAAATGAAACTCTGAGGGAAATAACCAGGTTCAACATACAAAAAAAAAAAAAAATTAGTGCCACACTTTTTGTTTCAGAGGAGGCAATTGCCCTGTAAGTCAAGTTACAAAAACTCTTGGTATTTCAGTCATAATTAAAGGTACCATTATCTAGCTGAGGATGCTAGAGTGGAGATTGAGAATTATTGCAAATAATGGTGGTGACACTGAAACAGGGAAGAAAGCAATACCCAATCAAATGGTATGAAGAAGAGTGGCTTGGAAAACAGAATAGGATCAACAGATCTGGAAAGATGAGTACAAGAACTCTTCAATGTTCTTTGAAGAGAGATAATGAAAATTTATGATATATTTCTAATTGTTATCTTTGGGATGCATAAATATATATATTTAAGAAAATCTAACTTGACTTAATCATTTGGTTTTCATCCCATAGTACTGAATCATCTCAACATATCTTTACTAAATGTTTAATGAACTTTCCAGTCTCAGTTGCCTTCTCTTTGAAATGTAAGTAATGTTCTCATCATCACTGAAGTATTATAAAGACTGACTCAATGTTTATCCATCTCTGTTATAGCAGTATCAGTCTCATGGTGAATACGTCATGAGTTGCTATTATTGTTATTGTTTGATTATTATATCATCTTTATAAGTTCCCAGTAAAAGAATCCCTTTCATTGTTCCATTGGATTGAGTGGAACCAGTTCAAAGACCAGTAACATCAGTCAAATAACACTGCTTACAACACTGCTTTAAAAAGCCTATTTTTGTGTGGTATGTTAATCATCATAATTGAACATACAGGATGGTGATAATCTATCATGTGAAAACCTTGATTTGGGGTCTCTATGTTGTCAAAGCAAGTTGGAGCCTAACAATGTCCAGTAACTAGAGGCCTGAAAGAGGAATTTTTAAAAGCTTCTCCAAAAGCAACAGGATAAAAGTACTATTGGCCTTGACCGCATGATGAGGGTTTTTTACCAAAGGGGAAAACTTAGTTCAGTTGATCATCCCAGCCTAATTGATTAATTGTGGGTCTGACCATCTGGCTGATGAATGCTGACACCCAGCAGTGATTACTGTGTAACACGAGTCCGGATGTGTTCTCCCTGATGCCTCCCACAATAATGGCAACTCTGAACTTAAGGTTAGTTTATTCAGGCCTCTTGGCTCAATCTCTTCATGGAACAGTGGTTGTGGCAGAGAATATTTTACTAGACCTGGTCAAGCATTATCTTCTCTTGTTTCAGTTACCCCTCCTTTCCCAGTCCATCCCTACCCACTCCTCAGCCCTCTCTTGTATATAATCACTTTTCATGCAAAGTGTTCCATCTGTAGTTTTCATCATATTCTCTGATTCTCTCATTTCTGGTTGCCCTATTCTGAAAAATATTTGACTGGTTTGAAAGACCTGTACTGCTATTTCACAAGGAATTCTATTGAGACATTTTTATTGTAACTTCTGTGGTACTGGTACTTCAGACTACTCTGTGCTTCCAAAATAAAGAAAAATTATTTAACCAAATTCATGAGCCTGAGAAAAACTCCCCAAAATGTTCCAAGTTATTCAGGAGGCTAGCAGAATACAAGGGTTAAGAGAGGATAATTCTTACATCTTAAAGCTACCTGATTCACAAGAGTGTCTCATGGAAAGAACAGCTCCCCCCTAACACACACACACACACACACACACACACACACACACACACACACATACCACTATGACTCTGAAGCAATTTCACAGCTAGAGAAAGAAAATCTCAAGTAAATAACAGGGACCAATAGCAATGCCACCCACAAGCTAGTCTATACCTGGAAGTAACTTGTATGTAGAAGAATTCTCCAAACAAATCAAACCTGAACATGTACTTATAAACCTTAGGGGATTATAACCAAATTCTTTTCTTTCATGTTAAGGGAAGGCCTGGAAAGGAAACTGACAAAATGGCTTGCATAAGTTTGGCCAACTAGTCACAACTGATTTCCACTTTTAAATGCATTTCTTTTTTCTTGCTCCCCACAGATGCTGGATTCTTCTATGTTCCAGGCTGGGTTAGTGTTAATTTATAGTACAGGATGGTAGTAGCAGGCTGAACATCAGAGTTCCGGATTGGGAGTTGGGAAATGTTTTTGGCATGACTGTCAATAAACAACTATGTGTCTTAGGCAAGTCAAGTCCCTTAACTCCCCATGTCTCAGTCTCTTCATTGAAAAATGATAGGGTAGGACTGCATGAACTCCATGGTCTCTGCCAACACTAAGATCTGATGGTTCTATAGCTCATTTCCTCCCCCCTCCTCTGGCATCAAATGTTCAACAACTCAGCTTATAGCAATTTTTCTGCTCTTAGTTACTGATGGAAAAATATCTCCTTCATTTACTGCTTGGTATTTTGTATTCGTATCCTCTCTCTCTCTCTTTTGATGCTAGTATTTTGAATCATAAACACTAACATATCCAGATAGTGCTTTAAATTTGAAGGCATTTAAGGAGAATAGCTTTCCCACATAGAACATTCAGTGTAGCTCTGCATGGAGGAAGTCAGCCATCCAAAAGTGGAGCAAAGGGGCCAATTCACAAATGAGAGGAAGCCTTTCATAATAAGAGTCTCCAGACTCTTCAATTTAGATAAAGCTCAAAAGCTATCAACTTCTAACTACTTTTCCAATCAATCCCAGACACCATCACAGACACTTAGGACTACAAATTTGAGGACCAGCACTGGCAGTGATGCAGTTCTTATTTCACCTCCACCATCCATTGCCAAGTAGGATTTAGGATGGCATAGTAATAAGAGCCAAGAGGACAATCTGTCATTTATTTTCCTCCAAACTTTTTGAAATTTCCCATTTGGGCTCTGTTTCCCAGTTTTAATTTGGTAACTGCCATTTTTCAGCATTTCTTTTAACAGGTTACTAATAATTTCTGATACAGGATCTCATATTTCATTTTGTGCTGCTAGAACTGCTGTTAATATTTCATCTGCCTTCAATTCAGCTCTGAATAAAAGCTGCTGCATTTCTGATACACTGTTAACACTTTGATTCTGGGGATTTGATAGCCAGTGTTCACTGTTTGTCCATATCTAGTTAAGTAAAAGTAATAGGCTAGCTAAATCAGAAATATTTCAGGGATACTTGTTTTGTTTTGGTCTAAATCTTTGATGAAAACAAACAAAAACCAAATATTCTGTGTTTATTTTTACAGGTATCTTGTCATTTTCTTCATTTTCTGGAAACAGATACTTACGGTCGAGGACTTATAGGCAGATCCATGTGCAAATTGTGGCTCTAAATATTACTATATGTATTACCTTAGGTCACTTCTTTAACCTTCCCAAATGTCTTTTTTCCCATTTATAAAATGGGGGATTATAACAGTATCCATTTGTAGTGCTATGAGGATCCAATAAATTAAAGTGCTGAGAATTTTCTGGATTCTCAATATATGATGAATATCATTCTTACTCTAGCATTAATAATCTACAAATACACTTTATATAATTATTATTACACAACACATTTTCAAGATCAACAAATGATTTGGAGTTCATACTTTTGCTGTTTAATTGGCTTATGTTTTAACAAACACCGTAAAATCAAGTAAAATTTTTTTAATATTTATATTTTAGATGTAGTTGGACACAATACCTTTATTTTATTTATTTTTATTTTTATGTGGTACTGAGGCTCGAACCCAAGGCCTTGCACATGCTAGGCGAGCACTCTACCACTGAACTACAACCCCAGCCCCTCAAGTGAAATATTTAAAAAATAGATCTTTAAAGTTATATGTAGGGGCTGGGGATGTGGCTCAAGTGGTAGCGCGCTCCCCTGGGATGCGTGCGGCCCGGGTTCGATCCTCAGCACCACATACAAACAAGGATGTTGTGTCTGCCGAAAGCTAAAAAATAAATACTAATATATTCTCTCTCTCTCTCTCTCTCTCTCTCTCTCTCTCTCTCTCAAAAAAAATAAAGTTATATGTACAGCTAATATATTGCATCATATTATCTTACTACCATTAAATCTAGCATCAAATTCTCAAAGCATTTTGTCATCGAAGAGTGCACTCTAGATAAAGCACATTGTACCATTACTAACCTATTTTATTAAGACATGACTTGTCATATTTATTTTCTCTTACTCCTGAAGAATACAGATTGTTTTAATATTATTTTGGTATATATCAGCCAAGGTCCATCAGGAGGGAGAAAACACACAGCAATGTGAACATAACAGTTTAGTTTAAAAATCATTAACAATAGGGGGCCCGCGTTGTGGCTCAGTAGTAGAGTGCCTGCCTAGCAAGCATGAGGCACTGGGTTAGATCCCTGGAACCACATAAAAATAAAAACAAATAAAATAAAGGTATTGTGTCCATTGACAACAAAAAAATTCTTAAAAATTAAAAAAAAACATTAATAGAGTATTAAGGTAATGGGGGAGCTAGTAAGAAATAAAGAGAACTCTAAACAATATAAGAAAAGCAAATAACAAAGAAACTGCTGCTTGTACTTCTAGCCCTGGATGGGGATCCAGACTTTGAAGGACAAAAAGAAGAGCCCCTGCTATCTCTAGGCTGGAATCTAGACCTTGTTGGATAATGCATGACTAGAACTCATTGAATGCCAGAGATGCTGCTGGGAAGCTTCATCAACAGAATTTTCTGGAAATCTCTATGTAAGGGTTCAGGAAAAGCTATCTAAAGGGAATTATCTCACACATGTACCTACCCTGGTGTGGGTGGATGTCTGCATGTGAGGTAAGAGCTAGGGGAGGCTGCTGAGTGCCAGGTACTGGTGATACTAACTGAGCTTTAGCTGCTAGGCACCAGGGTAGCTTGTGTGGTAAGGAGCTGGATGCCAGAGAAGCTGCTGAAGGTACAGAAGCCAGGCTCTGGATGAACCATACGCACTGCAGGAGTCTACCAAAGGAGAACCTGGGAACTGGGAAGGAAGACCTTTTCCTTCTACATCCTCATTCTATGGCCTGTACTGACAAGTATCCTCATGCCAGCTGGCAAAGAAAAATACTTAAAAGACTGAAGATACATTTTTATAGAGCAAAAAAGGACTGGCAAATTTAGTCCTGAGAGACAAGACACTGATAACTGGCACAGGAATTATAATTTTCTCACATACTTTATGAAATAACTCACTTTGGAAATTACAATCCAGTGTTCTCAAGTTATTGCACTGTTGTTCACCTTTACTAATAAATTAACTCTCTTTGCATAAGTCAGAATTAAGGATAATAATAAGAAGCTATTAAACAAAAATCTACTTAAGACATTTTAAAAAGTCACAGTACTAATATTTGTATAATAACCCTTTCCCCTAAGTGCTGCTTACATATGTTATATTTAAATGTTTATAATGTACTTAAGAAAAAGATGTACAGAATACTATTGACCTAAATTAATGCATCAGTGATCCTAGTCCAGAATTTCAACTAAGTGGATAATCAGTGGAGTTGTTACAAATACCCCCAAATTTTGAGAAAAGTAAAAATTGCCTCAGTTATCATTTCTCTTTCTCTTTCTTTTAAAATTGACTCTAGAACCACTATTTGCTTGTTTTATGACTTTTTCCCCCCAGAGGGCTTGGGAGCTGTTAACTATATGTTACTATTTTTTAAATAAATGTATCATATATTTAATAGTGAATTTTTCCTATAATGCCTCCCAATATTGTTTTACCCTCAATATTAAATAAACAATCATCCCTGTTGTGATCAATTTGGCTCACAACTCAAGGTACATAGTGATCATTTCCAGAATTAGTTTTGTATATACAGGTGGGGAGGTATACTCCAAAGTACCTCCCTCTTTCTGCCTAATTTCTTTATTCTTTTAAGAAAGAGACAGAAACTTTCATTATATAATTAGAGGTAGATTTAAAAACACAAAGCCCTTACTAGAGAAAAAAATAGGCCCAAATCTCCTTCATGTCAGCTTAGAAACAAAATTCTCCCACAAGACTCTGAAAGCGCAAGAAGTAAAATAAAAAAAAAAATCAATAAATGGGATGGTATCCAACTAAAAAGCTTCTTCACAGCAACGGAAAAAATCAAGAACATGAAGAGAGAGCCTACAGAATGGGAGAAAATCTTTGCCACCTGCAGCTCAGATAGAGCATTAATCTCCAGTTTATATAAAGAACTCAAATAACTCAACACCAAAAAAACCAAATAACCCAATCAATAAATGTGCAAAGGAATGGAACAGACACTTCACAGAAGAAATATGAATGGTCAACAAATATATAAAAAAATGTTCAACATTACTGGTAATTAAAGAAATGCAAATTAAAACTACACTGAGATTTCATCTCACTCCAGTCAGAATGACAATTATCAAGAATACAAATAACAATAAATGTAGGTGAGGATGTGGGGGAAAAGGTACATTCATATATTGCTGGTGGGATTGCAAATTGGTGCAACCACTCTGGAAAGCAGTATGGAAATCCCTCAGAAAACTTGGAATAGAACACCATTTGACGCAATTATCCTTGTCCTAGGCACATACTCAAAGAACTTAAAATCAGTATATTATATGGTCACATCAATGTTCATAGCAGCTCTATTCACAATAGCTAAACCATGGAACCAACCTAGGTGCCCTTCAATAAATTAATGGATGAAGAAAATGTGATATATATGAATGATACTATAGCACTGGTGATATTACCTGAGCTTTAGCTGCTTTGGCACCAGAGTAGCTGTGTATACATATCATACACATATGTGCACACGCGAGAGCGCGCATGTGCGCGAGCACACACACACACACACACAATGGAATATTACTCAGCCATAAAGAAGAATGAGATTATGGCATTTGCCAATAAACGGATGGAACTGGAGACAATAATGTTGGCTTACAATGTGCCAGGTAGAGGAGTGTAGGTTCACTGGACTGAACTGGGGGGAATGAGGGGAAAGGAGGGGGGATTGGAATGGGAAAGACCGTAGAACAAATCATACATAACATTCTTATGTTCACATATGAATACACAACCAGTGTAACTCCACATCATATACAACCACAAGAATAAGAAATTATACTACATGTATGTATGATATGTCAAAATACGTTCTACTGTCATGGAATGAAAGAGTTTAAAAATTGATATTTAAAAAATAAAATAAAAACAC